GGCCTATCAATTGTCCCAAGCATCATTATCGTTTGTTTACGTTCATCTTCTCACATTGCATTGTTAGAATTCATAAAAAAAATAAATAAAAAAAATCTCGAATTTGGTTCTTTTTAGGCCCCGTATAAGTCTATATCATACTACCATTCAAGAGTTAATTTTTTTTTTTTTTTTTAAATAAATATTTGGCAAGGAATTAAATTGATACAATTGATTAAATTGATACAAAGATGACGGTTACTTTAACATTGTTACAAAATCTGTTTGAATTTTTTTTAATGTGGTTTTCACAAAAATATTAATCAGCTCAACGTTATCTTTAACAGATAAGAAATGTTTTTCGAGCTCCTAATCATCATCATATTAAAATTATTTCTAGAGGATCAATGGAGTAATGTCTGCAAAAAATTAAGCTTTGCCAGATTTAAATAAAAATGTATTAAAATAGAAAACAGTTATTGTAAATGACAATAATATTTCACAATATTACAGTTATATATATATATATATATATATATATATATATATATATATATATATATATATATATATATATATATATATGGACCCATGACGGTTTATGCACAGTAAATACCAGTTCAATGTCAACATCATTGAGTTCTTTACATCACACATTTCTTTTCTTCTCTCGGTGCTGCATGCTGTTTTTGTGATGTGCCTTGGCACAGATAAGTAGATGGGTTATGCGGTCACTGAGTGAGCCAGCGAATGCCGCAGGACAAACCGCTCACGCGCACGTTCAGCGGTCATCCGCTCAGTATGCCTGAAAATAAGGTCACCACGGCAACACGTGTGACACCCTGATGACGACATGCTTCTGTCTGACCAGAGCCATCCGCTGCATGCAGGCATACACACATGCACATATACACAATCAATCACTATATCCCCCACCCCCATAACTGATGATCTGTTCTCACTAAAAGAAAACTATAAACCACACAGAAGTACACAAATCAAAATCAACTTCATCCTGACAGCAATCAGCCTTCAAATGAGCACTGGCCTCCATTTTCAAACACAGATGTATACTGACACAAATCTTATTCACAAGAACTGTTTCCAGCCCACAAATATTGTCTAAAAGCTCTAGACATGTTAGCATAAGCCCTCGGGAAGAGTCATATCCTACCACTAAAGTACTTGACACTGTAACACTTAAAGTAACCTGACAATAGAAAATAGAAATTGAAATGCACAGTCTGATGGCAGCTTTCAGTGCGCATGCTTCAGATGTGTGTGCTCAGAAAACCATATATCAGAAGTTTAAACTGATTTGACATTAAAATGCATGCAAATAATAAACGTTCTTGATGAGAACAAGAGCGTGAGATTATAATAAAAACCAAACAGATGTTTTAGTTGTGGCAGAGTATCTGAGGCAGAGCTGTACAGGCTCCACCTTCTTCTGGAAAGCAGTGTGGGCTCATTTGCATTTAAAGACACATGCTTGAAAACAGCATTTACAACATGGTATAACAAATGATCTGTAGGATATTTTTAGCTAAAACTTCACAGACACATTCTGGGGACATCTGAGACTTGTATTAAATATTGTAAAAAGGTGCATAATAGGTCCCCTTTAACAAGTATAGTCTTTAGAAATCATACTTTGTCCAATGTCCAATTAGGTGACAGCTAAGATTGAGGAAATTTGAAAAAATCGTTAACTGCAGTAAATGAATATGATGGCGCTACACATATTTAATTCATCTAATTTAGTATAAATAAAATAACATCAACCTTTTCATTCCATGAATTCAATATTTCACAAACCACAAAGGATTAATAACATTTGCATGTCATGAAAGTTTTTCAAACGTAAAGTTTTGCATGCCGTCAATGCATTGTTATTGTACAGAGTCTGAAGTGCTTGAATGGTGCTTCGAGAAACATAACATGATTTGTTTGTCTCACATACCACCTGAAAAAGCATGTGCAGACACATCCAAAATCACACAAGCAGGAAAAGGCACATCTCAGCATACCTGTACACTAAGGCAATTCACAAGATAAGCCTACACATATTGTGAAGCAGAAGTCTTTTGAATGAGTAGAGCTGAACATCAGCTATAGGGAGGAGGTTGGGTGTGCTAAAAATTATAAGTGATCCATTGGTACACTGACTTCCTGAAGAGTGACTGTGACAATGGCTGAAAACATCCTGACCAGTCAGAAACACTGGCTCAGCCAACGGCGTAAGTATGGGGCAGGGCTATCTGTTTGCCCAGTTATTGTTTTTGCAGTACCGTTTGGTGACACTAGAGGTGCAGACATCACAAACTACTGCTTGCAGTGTTAGTAATGCTGTTCATCAGGTATTGTGCCCCTGAGAACACACACACACACCGAGAGAGAGAGAGAGAGAGAGAGAGAGAGAGAGAGAGAGAGGAGAGAGACAGATCAAGCATCTGCATATAGAACATCTGCAACAGTGCACAGAGAAGATTAATGTTTAATTCAAAGTCTAATTAAGCATCTCAAAGCACAAGAGAGAAAGGAGTGTGTTGTGTGTGTGTGTGTGTGTCAGGGGCTGTAAACCCCTGTATAATGTAAATCCTACATTATGGGGACAAAATGTCCCCACAAAAAATAGCAATATCCTAAATCCTTGTCCTTGTGGGGGACATTTTTTTGGTCCCCGTGAGGAAAACAGTTAATAAATCATACTGTTTTTTTTTTTTTATTTTGTTTTTTAAATTTAAAAATAGAGAAAGTTTTCTTTGATCGTTAGGGTTAGGGGATAGAATATACAGTTTGTACAGTATACAAACTAGAATGTCCCCTTAAAAGATGCAAACCTGTTTGTGTGTGTTGTCAAAGGAAGATGGGCAGCTTTAGCAGAGATCAAACATTCAGGACCAGTGCTAACACAATGTTTATATCTGGTATTAACATTCATTTCAGGTGAACTTATCACAAGGGGTCAGTACTAAATACAAGTAAACACATTTGCAATCTGTACACTCAGACGACATACAGAGTTAGTCAGAAATGCAGTGGACCACATTGCATTTGTCTTAAACAAAATTAAAGGACCTCATACTCATCTGTCATTAATCAACTGCACTGAAACAAGGAGTTTTTGCTGGTTATGTTCCATTTTAAAAGGAAAAAAAGTGTACGGTTGAAAATGTTACTTATACAAAAACTTCATGGACTGTTTTTCAATTAATAACACAGATAGTGTGAAGCACAAACAAACTACAGTTAATGTATATTTGTGGTGACATTTAAATAACAAAAATATATTTGAAGCAGAGTTGGACATCTGTTTTGCCCAAACACTGGGACAGATGTTAATACCAGATACAAGCATATGTGTAATTGATTGCGGGGTGATTCTTGTACGATACGGTATCATTCATATCCATGCGTGAATGTCCACCACAGTGTCACCCAAACACCTGAATCTCAGAAAGAGAAATTCAACACCCGATAATAAAGAAAGACAGAAAGGAAAAGATTTGGATATGTAAAAAATGAAGAGACACATTCTGGGCAAAGAAAAACACAACTTGCTGAAACTAAGAATGAAGGCCAGCGTGTGTGAGAGAGATGAGAATAGAAGCTTTCTGTCATTATATATGATGAAGATGAATGGCCGTGCCACCGCCAGCCAGACAAACAAAAAACAGACAACACAACACCTCTCTCTTGTCCTTTTCAATGCATCCAAGATTGTATGTCTACCCATGAAACTCGCATACACAGGCACATAAATCATAAAACATGGCATGGTGACCCACATAGAGGGCGAAAGAAGAGAAACTGAAAGACCTTGTCATGTAAGATCCAAGCCAAACAAATGCATAGACAGATGGTGCAGAAAATCACCTTATATGTCTCCTTACTGAAAAAACCTTACTGTCCGGTTATACTCCAATTATTCTTTTCTATAATTTACATGCTCACCAATATCAGCATGTTTGTGTTGTCTGGAGTCTAGACTCTAAGAGCAGAGAGGATTTGTAATGCAGTCTATTGTACTATGCTCAGCCTTTCACACACACTTACATGGCACATTGTGTTTCGGCCAAAGACCCAGAATCAATACAACCAGCCTTCACCCAAACACACTCTCACACTGAATGCAGAAGTGTCTTTCAAACAGTGCAGTGGACAATAAAGAAACTCTTACGGTGTTTACTGCCACGGATGAGTGTATATTTTACTCTTTTGAGGAATGTCTTATGATTTTGACCCAAGAGAGGAGTTCAGCTTGAATGTTTTATGTGCCTTGCAGCTTTAAAAGTGTTACGCTGTTGTCAGATATATGGTGGGCATAAGTGTGTGTGTGTTTGAGGACCACTGTTTGATTTTCTGAATGGTGTGCCTATAGCAACAGTGATCTTTCTGTATGCTCAGTCTATTTGCATAAGTCTGCGAGGATATTACATTTTATATATGTCAATAAAAAAAAACATTTAAAATGATGCAAATACACCTGCGCTCACACACAAACACACGCACACACACGCACACACACACATTAGGTCATGCTGCAGTGTCCCTCACTGCTTGGTAGCATCAAAACAAAACCTGCTTCATTACAAAACGCAACCATAACCAACTCTACACTATCCTCTAGCACACAACTACAATATAAAAAAAAGAACATAATGCATTTATCCTTTTAAAAATTACCATATGAGATACAATAATGGTAGAGAAACTTCTAGACAATAACAAAAAAACAAAACAGATATGCATACACAAACACATAAAGGTATGCAAGCAATTTATCTTTAAAAAAATGGGATCAATTGGGATTTATGCAGGTCTTGCAAATGATGTATGGACACGCGTGCGCACACAAACACACACTTATACACACAACCAGATGCACACATTGCAGTGCTGATGGGATGGGGTACAGTCCGACTGTCCTGTATAAAACTAGAAGATGAGATGGTACATATGGGGCAAACAGACACACACACAGGACATTGCCACAAGCCGATGTGTGTGTTACTCACAGTTCTGAGTAGAGGATGTGCAGGTTGCCCACATTGTCAGTATAGTTTGCTGGACTGAGCCAGGGCAGAACCAACAGCAGGAGAGCCTTCATGACCCTCTCTCTCCAGGGCCCTCAGTCTTGAGTCTCTCTTTCTTTTGCTTTCTTTGTCTTCCTCTGGACTGAATGCAGTCTTCCCTATCCGTCTTCCTCCCTGCCCCTTTCTCCTCCACCACTACTACAGTTCTGACCCCCCCACCCGCCTTTCTCTTAAGTAAAAAAGCTATTCTTCCTTTTCCTTTTCTTCCTGATTCTTTGCCTTTCCACTTTTCTGATTTCCCTTGCCTCCCTCAGGCTTTTAGCCTGGTCATCTCAGCAGTAGAGAGATCAGCAGCAGTAGAGGGAGAGGTGAAGACTGGGAGCGCTGCCAGCGGAGGAGAGCAGAGAGTGCAGGATGAAGAAACACTCGAGAAGAAAAGGAGGCAGGAGCGCTGTCTGGAGCGGGCGCAGGTGCATGTGAGCCGAGGCAGAGAAGAAAACAGAAGAGTGAGGTAGAAGGAGAAGAGGAGGTAGAGAGCGGCGTTTGCTGGCACACCGGTCGGGTGCGATGGTTGCGTTGCGGTTTAATCTGTCCTGGGTTTCGTCCAAGTGTAAGAGGATTTACGCTCACGAGCCCATGCTGCTGTGAATGTGTGAGAGAGAGAGAGAGAGAGAGAGAGAGAGCGAGTATGTGTGAGTGTGGCAACACAGCGTCTGACTTATACTGCAGCATGCTCTACTGAGAGAGAGAGAGAGCTGGGGCGAACCATCTGACACGAGAAAGAGGGGGAGATGCAAGCTTGGGTGGTCCATCTATCATTGTTTGTATGCCTCAAGGGTAGAGCATGTGGCAAAGACCACCCCTTCCACAGAGCATGGGTTCATTCAGCCATGCAGGGGTGTGTGTTTATAAATATACATGTACATGTAATCAGGGAATATACATGGATGGGTGGATGTATGTATGAATGGATGGATGGATGTACAGATGGACGGTTGAATGAATGGACTGATATATATGGATGAATAGATAGAAAGAGATGGATAGACATCTATATACAGTATATAGCCAAGAGGTATAAAAAGACTGACAAACAGCTAGAGAGTCGGACATAAACTAGCTATACAGACAGACAGACAGAAAGATAGACAGATGAGCAACCACACTCCATTTATAGCTTGACTATTCTTCAGTCATTCTCCAAACAATAACTCACTCTGTCACATAATCAGACAAAAATGTTTAAGGCCCAATAGACCTCCAAAGTTTACAACACTTTCAATAAACGTATGATTTGGTGACAGTACAGCATATGCTATGATCAATACTGTATGTGAGCCTAAGGACAGCCTGAGGCGCTACATACCCTCCTCTCTCCCCAGATCTTTTCCAGGATTCTAGGAAAGTCTGCCCACTGCCAAATACGTGCAGACTCAAGCACATGCTTATGTACACTGACAAAGTGCATCTAGACCCGTTTGACTGCAAACACAAAAGAAGCTGACACAGACCAATAGATGGATGGATGGATGGATGGATAGATAGATAGATAGCAACATGACATCATGATTTTTGCGTAAACATACACGGCACTTTCGAGTCAGGTGGCGTGTTATCTCTACGCATTTTGAGCTATCCGCGTGTATCCGTGTGTATGCGTGTATGTCTACGCCATTAACGTCCGCGTCATTCCGCGTGTCTGTACACGCAGTCAAATCTCCAGTCATAAATGCCATTAACCCCAGTGACAGTTAAGTTTAGGGATGGGGTTGAGGTAAGTCATATCTTTTTTTTACCTAGGATGGTAAAGGAACAGTCATAAATGCCATTAACCCCAGTGACAGTTAGGTTTAGGGACGGGGTTGAGGTAAGTCATATATTTATATAACGTTAAGTCAACGGCGTTCATAAACAAGCTGAAAGGCGATTATGCGTCTTGATAGCACGGCAAAAATGGAAATACGAATTGGCGTGGCATACACACGTTACTTCATGAGATCAGTCTGTAGATAGATAGATAAGCTTGAAAATCCTTCAATCATTCTCCAAACAAACAACAACTCACAAGCTCACACAATCAGACAAAACTAGTTATAACTTTATAGATCAACCAAAACTTTACAGCGCCTTCAATAACTGTATGATTTGGTCACAGTATAGTATGTGCCATAAACAATATTGTATGTGAGGCAGCCCGAGGCGCTCCTATTTCGCCAGATATGATCTAGGGTTCCAGGAAAGTCTGTCTACCACTTTCTACATACATACTGACAGACAAAGTGCATCTTGACTGCAAACACAGACCAAAATACAGACACAAAACTATCTTTGGTACTAAACCCCAAAGCACATGCAAATAACATGCAAAGCAATCTAAAAAACATCAAAACGTCAACCAAGGCTGACTCAATACAACAGGTCTTCTAACTACATTGTAATAAGTCACCAGTGTGATGGATGGCTCACAATTTAACATCACAAGACCACAAAATGCTGGGAAACAAAAAAAAAAAATCAAAAGCAGCTAATACTGAAAAAAAAGCTTACATGCATGGATTCAAGAGGAACTTTATAGAAAATGTCTCTTTCTCTCTCTCAATTGAAATAAATGGAAGGGCCATTCTTACATGGAGAGAGTCTTTGGCTGGTCCTTACAAGTGCTTGTTTCTCTGAAGTCCCGTCCCATTTTGAATGATGTCCAACTTTACAGTCCTGGACCAACTAAGACCACTGGCTTCCAGACCACATTGGAGACAGAAGGGAGAAGAAGAGAAAGACAAAGTAAGATGAACTGACAGCCCAAGAGCCCAGTATAAAAAGAGGGAGATGTGGGAGGGGAGAAGAGGAATTGTATGGAAAGAAGCAAGTGTGGTTTTTTCGGTTGACTGGAGAAAAGGGCAAGTTGATTATGTTTCCGTAAGTGGAATTTTAAATGAGAGGGAAACTTTCCATTAACAACAGTAACAAAATGCAATTAATTTCATTTGAGCCCTCAGGCTTGTAGAGCACTAATGATTCAGAAAGAGTCCACAAGAACGACAGAGACTTCACCATCCTAAAAATGGTAAAAGTGAGGGAGAGATCCAATATAAAGCATTAGTTAGTATAATGTCCCAAAGGCACTGAGATAGAAGATATCTTAGTCGGATAAACAGAGGTCACTTTGGGGTTGCTACCTCTGATGAGCGGAGAACAAAACAATCCTCTAACCAAATAAACAAACACACGCATACACACAGATGGAGATGTGCTCGACACATGTCTTCTATTCAGGCGGATCACTGACAAGAGGCTTTTATGAATGACAATGAATAAAGAGCTGCTTATGAATGCCAATGAGAAGATGAACTCTGAATTCAACACATCAGTCACTTTCAGCAATTCAACAATTTCTTATACAGTTCAATACCTCGATACCTTGAACTATGCTGAACAGTTCAATACCTTGAACTTGGACTGTCCTTTTCCAAAACTTCAAGATACCTTTAAATAAAGCCATCTAAAAATGAGTGCTTACTGAAAGAAGACTGAATGTCTGGATCAATATATAGGCTGGTGCTGGAAACTGAACAACATGAACAACATTCTTTTTGACCAATAGGGTTTTGTATCACGATTGCAAGCATTAAGATGCGGTCACACTAACAGTTGCTTGGTGAAATTACTCGGGCGATATCTAGTCATTTCAACGGGAATTGGTGTGATGAAGAATTTTGCCAGATAAACTTCCAGTGGCTGATAATTTTCCCTTCTCAAATCTGCAGGCAGGCTCATAACTTATACAAGAAAGCAAAGCAGAAGATCCACAATGGACGATTATACAATGATCAATAAAAAGAGGCTATTTGGAAAGTGGTTATTTAAGGTTGGTTTGTTTGCTTTGCTGGAATAAATAGCTTTGGATCTTCATTTCAACATCTTTAATCCCATATTTCATTCATGGCATTTTGTATCATCTAGACCCGGTTTCTTTAAGCTAGGAAATTTTGCCCGGCAATGATAAATGTGACCGCACCTTTAAGGTAAGGTTTCAGGAATGTGGAAAGATCTGGAAATTGACAGAAACTCAATATTAATGAAGTAACATTACTTAACTACTGGCCGTAATTGATTTGCTGAAAAGTAAAAGGTGTTTTCCTAAGGTGGCTGCTCACTGTTTGCATCAATGCAACAGTCTGGCTTCTGCTGGCTATTTCATACTGCTACCAGGTGAAATAAAACTTTTCTCAAAAACAAATTTTAAATGGTTTCTACCCCCCTGGTAGTATTAGGGTGATAATTGTTTGAAAGCAAAATTGCTCCAGGACCAACAGATGCGGATCCATGTCCTACTTGGCTAAATTGCATTGTGCATCTTCCACCATCCTAAATTGTATTAAGAAGCTCAAATCTTGTTTAGACCACTACTAGCTCTGAGGGTGATTTCCTCACCGGCTCCTGATGTGTCCCTCCATTTCTCCCCGCGACAGCACTTCAGTGCAGTGTTCGGTAAAGGGACAGGACACCATCAGTTTATCCAGCAGCTTGTGCACCAGCAGACTGGACTTTCGGCAGGTTTGTAGCATCAGCGGAGTGCGATCCACCGGGCAGAAGTCGCTCTCCAGTAGGAAGTTTGTCAAACACTCTTGGCAGTAGGTGTGCCCACACGGGGTGTCCAAGGGCCGAATCAAAGGCTGAAGGCATATGTGGCACATGAGGTCATCGTCCACCTCCTCTTTGTAGGTATATTCGTGGTTCTCCTCTTGTAGGTGGCGTTGTCCACAGACATGGCACAGGTCAGGAGGAGGGGAGGTGGGACTGACTCCTGTTGCACCGCAAACAGGCATCGCCACAGCACCCGCCTCTTCCTGATCACTCATTGTGTAATGGTATGGTATGGTGTAAAAGGTTGAAGCGTTACTAATCCGTCAGGTTGCTTTTTGAGCCATCCACCTGTAGGATCACATAAAAAAAGAAAAAAGGAACTGTAATTTATTGCAAATAGGTGTGTCCACATGACAATCTTGTTGGCTGTGTTTGCTGGAAAGGCAGGTCGCACACACCCAAAGACACAGTTTATCAAAAAGAGGCCATCAAAAAAAGATTTTTTACTTTCTGTCTGTTCCTCATCACACTTACTCTATTTTAAATTCCCTGTGTTGGCAGAAGGATGAATATCAAACTGATCCAAATCTCATTTTATATTCCACTGGCAACAGAAATATCAATATTGCACCTGAGATTATTAATAAACCCAGTTGGAGAAGAAGACAAAGATATAATTGAAAGTTATACAGTGGAAGTTTTTAGCATGGTCACACAGAGAACAGCCATTTTGCTAGCATTATTCTGGATGTTTCCAGAACCTTAAGTATTGTCGTTTAGCAGCTGTTTCTGAACTAGAATTTTGTCCATAACAACCACAGTAGGGCAATTATGCCTGGGTTTGTGTGAGCCTGTCATTTAGTAGTGAATTGTTTGTGTGCGTGTGTTTGTATGTGGCACGCGTAGTTCACATACAAGATTTGCTTTATTTTAAAGGGATAGTTCACCGTCAAGTGACTACTGTGTATCATTTACTCACCTTCATATGTCATTCTAAACATGTAACTTTATTTTTTTTTTCTATAAAACATGACAGTGGACTACTG